CACACTGATCGGAGTCATAAGTGTGACCAGATTTAACATCTGAACAATATCATGATATTAGCAGAAACCCCAAATAGAGCGAGTTTCCCAGGAGAAATTTTGCTTTTGCAATGGAGCCATGCCTCACAGCAGGTTATTTTTTTCTCCCTTAATATTTTCCCACTTTTGCTTCAAACAAATAAGAGTCATCAAGTAAAAAAACTAAAACAAAAAAGGTTACACAGCCAGAACCACAAGCAGCATTCCTATGTTAGATTATATACTTGCCTTGGCTATGTAATTCATTCTTCTTTCTCATCCTATGCTCTGCCTGTCAAAGAACACTTTGGGTAGGAAGAAATTTTAAATATCTAGTTCCAACTTCCCTGCCATGTGCGGGGACACCTTTCACTAGACCAGGTTGCTCAAAGCCCCATCGAACCTGATCTTCAACACTGCCACAAATGAGATACTCGATTCTTATGTGGACTTGAAAGCTGTAAGTCAAGAACTTTACATCAATGACTCTGCACACTAGTATCAGTCCAAGGAGGAAAATAGCCTCTCCTTCTCAGTTACAAACTTCCAGTACTGAAAAACAGGGGAGAGAGAAGGGAAAGAATATTTCATTTGTCTTCCCATTCCTACGCCTGTACGCCACATTTTTGGACTTGAGTCACTGTTACCCAATTTCCAAAAGGGAACTCCATATTAGGCAGACAAAGTGAAACCTGTTTTATATCAACTGTACTGTTAATGTACCTGTAACTTCCAAACAATAAAGTAACCTGCCAAGTTACAAATAGTGGCTTCCTCTTTTTTTTAAAAAAAAGTATATTACTACAGTAGCATATAAATTTAGACACTTTGTTAACTGATACATTGTACATTACAGGGTAGTGCCAAACCTGTCATACTTGCCAAAGGGTAACATGGCAAAAGGGCCTGCCAGGGCAGCACCAGCTACTGAGCAGGTGGTGAGCCTGGGAACTGCCCAGGATACAAACCCTGGCGCTTCTGCTGCCATCGTTCTGAAAGCTGATCACTCCATATTTCTGTCATTCCCTCCATAACAAGATAAAAAAACATATACTTGCTTTTTGAAAGGTGTTTTGAAACATACAGATTAAAATGAATTTAAAATTTTTTTCTTTCCAAGTAGCTATATAAATAATATTTTTAATAACCTGTTCCCAAACCCAGGTAGCAAGTCAAAGAAAAATAAAATAACCACAGATTGTGAGAAAACAGTCGGCTCAACTGTTTATTTAAAGGTAAGCAGAAGCAGCAATAACTAGAAAGGTTTTATTCACATGAAGATTCCAGCTTTTGCAAGTGTTGCATCCCCTGCCGCTGCTATAGGATGAGGAACAGAGTGGCCTATTTTCTGCTTGACTCATGCATCCCACTATTCCTTGCGCTCCCGACGAACCAACAGTGGGATCTTTTAAGCTTGCTGACTCATACAAAGATCCTCCTGCAGGTGAACTGACATCCTGGTGAAGGAACAGAAATACTTTGTAGTAGCCTGGACCTAAAGACTGATCATTCTGAAAGAGTAAAAGAAAATAATTCAGGCATACACAACAAACTGCAGAATTTCCAAACCTCGCTTCATCTTAAAAATTGTCTCTTGTATGCAAAGGAGATACAGGAAGTGAAAACAACTACGAACAACAGTGTAGGTTAAACTGTGATCAAAGAAGTGGCAAGGAACACAACGAGGGAAGAGGTAAGGCATGGAATAAAACCACACTTTCCTAATCATAACTGGAAAAATTGCATTCTTTGTTTTACTTAGCAGACATGGATGTGTCCAAAAAAAAGAGCTAAAAACTTGACATATGATTGCAATGCTGTTGTCAGAGTCTTATATCATGATTTACACCCTCTAAGCCACTGGTCCAGTTTCAGCGTATACTGAAATAAACCATATATAAATACCTATTTTCTACCCCTTCCAGACTACAAAGATATTAATGAAAGTTTCACAAACCCAGGTGCCTGATTTAGCTAAATGTGTAACACAGGTAGTACCTCTAGACCTCATCAGACTACACAAACACTACTGAAGTAAATAGAAGCTGCAGGTGCTCAACGTCTTTAAAAACTTGTTCATGCAGTGCATGGAAATGCCACACTAACATTGTTCAAATCTGTCTATTTGGAAAAAAAAAAATTGTCTCTTAACTTTCATAGCAATAAGTTAGCTCACTAGAAACATGCCCAAATGATATTCTACTCCAGGCTGAAAAAGCCAAACTAAGCTGTTACTTTGTCAAAAAACTGCTTTGTGCCCAAACCATTCATGGAAATCTAAGCAGTGCAAACACTTTTTTTACAAGCATTTTATCGAACAGCTTGCCAAGCTCCGTATAAACACATTTTACTATTTCATAAACTTTATACGCCAAGTTTTTGAAATGTGAAGTGACAGGCTCTCAGTAGAATTTCTGCAGAGCTACAAGGTTCTTATTGCCCTCAGGCCCCTGAGACCGTAAATTGACTATACGAAGCAAGTAGCCAGAATCTCTTCCTTTTTATACAGGAATGCCTTGCAAATTAGAAATACTGAAACAGCCTCTATGACCAGCCATAGAAGAATTCCTTTACACGAGGCTCAAAATGCCTCAGTGATCAGCACACAATAAGTATGCACCTCTGCTAGGTTTCTGTTGGCAACATAGGAGAAAGTTTCTCTCTGTCATTAAAGACCCCTTAAAGTTAAGAACTAATGCTAAATATCCTCCAACCCACAGATATACTTTAGCTAGGTAGTTACATAAGGAAATCATCCTATCTTCATGATTCTGGTTGTTTTCTAAATTTTTTTTCTAATTTGTTCACATCCTACTTTTATCCAAAATCCTAAAGTTACACAAAAGCAACTAAGAGTGAACTCACCAATGCCATAAAAACAAACAAAAATAAATAAAAAAATTAAAAAGAAAGAATAAGCCAGTTTCCAAACTCTGTGAAGTAAAACCCCTTGAGTACAGTTGCATGTGCCATATTATATTACATGTCAATCTATCTGACAGCACTGAAACTTTGCACTTCCGTTTACCAGTTACCTTTCTTAATGGCTCAAGGTCTCCCTTTGATTAGTCCCAGCTCTGACACATAAGCTATCTTTTTATCATGTTTACTTTTGCTTTACTACCACCCATTTGCATTTGAAATACTATTATTACTGTAGGCATTTTGAAGACATGTCCTCTATGGTGCCTTGTAGCACCCATGTAATTCCTGAGATCGTTTACCAGTGCAGATGACGGAAATCAAACAGTTAAGTTATAAACAGACAAAACTCTTTTTTCACTTAACCCAAAGATATTGGAAGAGTTCAGAGGCAGCTGTAATACCTGGAAAAGCTTTAATATTTCCTTTTCAAGTTAGCTACGCTCTAGTATTCCTAAGGTTGCAGAGCAAGCTAGTTAGAATCAGAGCTCATTTCCTGGCATTTAATCCTCCACTGGAATTAGTGTGCTACCTTTCAGTTGTTAATCACTTTGATACTACAGCCTCTTACCTCAGAGTTTAAATTGTCAAGTCACGCATGAATGCAATTTACTCCTACAGAAAACTCCCTCAATTTCTCTGCTAATCTAAAGTAGCAGTGTTCCGTTAACCAATTCCAAAATTTTATGTAAAAGTTGTCACTTTTCCACATTCAGTCTCATCTTTTTCAAAGTTTCAGTTGGCTATAATGGAAGGCTTTAGCCTTTAGCTCTCTGATAGAAAGGGATCACCTCTAATTTGCAAGTACATTTTATTGGACTTTATAGTATGTGGAGAACACTTCTGCAAATGTAGTCTATGTTTGTGCACTAATCACACTCCACGGTGATAAAGGGCTTAACGGCTCTTCTGAAAGCAAAGGGTTGTATTTGGAACCCACACCTGGACTGCTCCCCTTCAACAACTGCACACCAGCCAAGCAATCCCAAATTGCAATCTGAGCTCCCCACCGCTTTCTCAACCACAGCGCATGGAAGTGCATCTATGAAATATCTACCCCATGGTGCAAGCTCTCTCTTCCCCAGGGAAGGGGAGGAACCCTTGCTTATCCAACGTACATGGACTTAATGGCTAAATGACCTCTTTGGATCTCGCTACCAGCCAGGTGTTTGAGACAGGTGTATCGTGCTCTCTCATGGGAAACTGATGGAGACACACCTCCCACACACCTGTGCGTGGGTACTGGGCAGAAGCTGCCAGTTCTGCTGGCAAAGATTATCCCAGACACGCCATCAAGCCAAGCCTGCTCGGCTCTGGGTTCAGTGGGGTACCTGGGGCTGGGACCAGACCAGGGACCAACACACGTCCCGGGAGCTTCCCGGGCCACTCGGGCGGGAGCATCTGGGGAGCAGCGGTCGGTAGTCAGGTGCTCGTGGCATCAAACTTGCTCGCTTTCCAATCCCCTGCGAGTTCTCAAAGCAGAATGTCAAAGCACGAACGTGGTCACACAAAAGATGAAAGGCAGCGACCTGAAACACGGCGTGAAAACCCAAAGGCGACCCCAAAGGGCACAGCCGGCTGTCACCGCATCACGAGGGATGGAGGGGGGTGGAGCGCGGACAGAGAGGGACGAGGTTTAGGTTGGACATTAAGGATAATTTCTTCAGAGGAAGAGCGATTAGACATTGGAATGAACTGCGCTGGGAGGTGGTGGAGTCACCGTCCCCGGAGATATTTAAGGAAAGACTGGACATGACACCCAGCGCCGTGGTCTAGTTGACAAGGGGGTGTTCGGTCATAGGTTGGACTCGACGATCTCAGAAGTCTTTTCCAACCTAACTGACTATGATTCTGAGCAGCCGGGCACCGACCCCCGGGGCCGGGGCACCAGGGCCCGCTCACGGCGCGGGCGGGGGATGGCCAGGCGGGCTCTGCGCTCCATCCCCGCGCTGCCACAAACTTTCCGGGGAGGGAGGGAAAAGAGGGGAGCGGAGGGCGCCGGCGCGAGGTAGGGGGGAAAAGGAGGGGGCAAGGAAGGGGGTACTCGGCGCGGCCCTTACCCGTCCTTGCGGCGGGCCTTGTAGACGTGCCCGTAGGTGCCTCTGCCCACCTTGCATCCCTCGTACTCGAACAGGTCCTCCACCCGCTCGCGCTCGGCCGCCAGCTTCGACTTGAACTCGTAGTCCATGTCTCGCCCATGGGCGGGGAGGGACGGGCGGACAGGGGGACGCGGCGGCCCGATCAGCACCCGCGGCTGGCGGAGCCCCCTCCCGGCGCCGCCATGTCTGGGGCTCGGTGGGGGCGGCGGGCGGGGGGGGTGGGGTACGGGGGGCGGTTTGTTTTTGTTTTGGTTTGGGGCTTCTCGCCGGGGGGGGAGGGGGGGAGCGCTCCGCCGCCGCCACCCGCTTCAACTGGGCTCCTCGCGGCGCGGCGCGAGGGCTGCCGGGAGTCGTAGTGCGACTGCGGACGCCGGCCCCGCCGACGAGGGCGGGAACGCCGCGGCGCCAGAACTACAACTCCCGGCATGCCTCGGGAGGCATTGGCCGGGCGGCGTCGGCGCACTGCCCTCCCCGGAGACAGCGGAGCGTTTCAGCGGCCGCTGGGAACTTGCTGACTCTTCACATTGCGGGCAGAGGCGGGAGCGGCGACCGCGGCCGGACGCCGCGCCTCTGGCTGGCAGGGAGGGACGGAGGGGTGTAGGGCGGAAAGGACGGAGTACACTAACCGCACGCTGTGGGGGGCTGAATAGTGCGGCGACTTGTTTATCTCGCCAGCTGCCACTCACGGCTTGGCCCCGCCCCCCGGAGCTTGCTGCCCTGTGATTGGTCGGCCCGCCCCCCGTGCCGCTGGCGGGGAGGGGCCGGTGCCGGCCCCGCGGGCTGTGGCGCTGCGGGTCCATGTTGGAATCGGGAATTCTCAGGGGCTCGGGACGGACAGATGCTGCTGAATAAACCGACCGTTCATAGGAATATAGAGGCAGATACAGCGTTTGCGCTCAGATACACTCCAGGCGTATTGCTGTGTCTTTATGATCCGATGCCACAGCAAGGCTATGCCTCTTCAGCCCCAAGTGGATTTTTAGACAAAACGCGGCGTTGCTGTGAGGTTCAGATTTAATGCAAAGTACTTTGAGATCGCAGAAACACTGAAGCCTCTTAACATTATGTCTCGGGCTCTCAGGGTTTTTTTTGTGAAAACCATCACTCTCTGCAAGCATATTTGCATTATGGAAGTGCCACACAGAGCTAAACAAATATGAAGAATCACAACAAATCACAGAATCAGTTAGATTGGAAAATACCTCTGGGGTCATCGAGTCCAACCTATGACTGAACATTTCCGTATGAACTAGATGGTGGCACTAAGCTCCACATACAATCGTCCCTTAAACACCTCCAGGGATGGTGACTCCACCATCTCCCCGGGCAGCCTATGCCAAGGTCTAATTATGCTTTCTGTGAACAAATTCTTCCCAAAGTCTAGCCTAAACCTTCCATGGCACAGCTTAAGACTTTGCACTCTTGTCCTATCACTAGTTACCTGGGAGAAGAAGTCGACCCCCTGCTGGGTACAAACTCCTTCCAGATAGTTGTTGAGAGTGATAAGGTCAGCCCTGAGATGACCTTACACAACCTGAAGGTTACATCCTGCCCTAAAAGCAAGTGACAATCCCCACCTTGTGTATTCAACATTAGAGTACAACAGCCAGCAGCAAGTGAATGAAGCAGAATTAAATTAGAGGAGGGGAGAGTACACATGGAAGCTGCCCATATACAGACACGGCCTTGATTCATCACCTGCCCAGCCAGTGTTAGTTACCTCAGTGGAAAGTTTTTCCACACGCCGGATGGGAGGAGTGGAGGAGCTGAGCTGATGAGAAGCTGTCATTGCTGACAAAGCACAGGGAGATGTCAACTGCTAAGTCATGAGGTCGTAACCAGAAGTTTGCTTCTCAAGGAAAGGCAGGAGTGTAACCATTTTGAGGTGATTATTTCTTCCAGAAGGCAATAGATGATTCAGAATTTCCCTAGTGCCAGGTAACTAGCAACCGAAATTCTCAGAAAATTTCATCACTCCTTTACCAAAATAGTACTTTGCAGAGAACTGCAAGTGCTTTTCTCTGCAGTTCCAGATGTGAATCTTTCTGAACGAGGCCCGATCATTAATTGGCAATTTTCCTAAACAGGAGGAAGAACAGCACTGATCTTTCAACACCAACATTAAAGGCATTTGCTAAATATAGAACTTACCGTTTAAAATTTTGCAAAGCATTCACATCTTTGGTCACCTGGAATTCAAAGCCAACACTTAGAGGAAAGGGACACAGACTGAAAAAAGCAAGCTTGTAGTTACTCTATCCAGATATTTTCAGCCAGTTTTAACAGCAACAGGAATAAAGACTGCCTTGCTGTTGGTAATAATAAACTCTTCAAGTAGTTTGCATTGCCCTCTTTGACCAAAACAATAGCCATTATTGCCCATTTTCACCACTAAGGCTTTTGGTTTAACTCTTTCAATTCCACCACGTGCTGACATGACTGTCTTTATTGTAATTCATTGTACGTCCACAGCACTGATGAGAGATGGCTAACAGCACCCCCGATTTTGGAAGCCCAGCTAGGCTGGCATTTGTAAGCCAAGGCAGCTTAATTTCCCCTCTACCCTGTACTGTACCCTAGTGTTGCAAGCAACCATTTTATCCCTTCTTCCATAAAGTGATTGTGCTTTGCCAGTGAATGTTTTGGCCCTTGCTGCTGCAATTTATGGAGCAGTGACAATAAATCATCTGAGAGAAAGAGACAGAACAGTACTGTGACATTTCCATTGCTCTTCCAAGCTAGTAAAATGTTGTGATACTGGTAATACGTATTTAATAGCATTCACTTTCCAACGAAAGTGTTTTATTAATTTTATTACTTCTGGTCAGAAGATAAATGACTGTAGCATTTTTAATATGCAATGTCCCCTCATTTGTTTAATTTTGCTGATGCAGAAAGTCTAAGCAGCACTAGCAAAGAAAAGAGAAAATTACAGACTTGCAGATTACAAACAGGATTTTTTTCAGCCTGCCAGCCTAACTGAACATACCTGGTTGTCGCTCATTAGAATCACCATTTCCTCCAAATCTCAAGTCACTGTGGTTAAATAGCGACTGGATAGTTAGAGGTGAAAGATGTTTTAAACAAGACTGAAAGTTGAGGAATTGAATATTCTCACTAGTTCTCTAAAGAGATCTCCAAGACAGATAAGATATGAATTTCTAATGTAAAAAGGAAGAATTTGGTCTGTAATACTTCAGTGTCAAGAAAGTGATACATACAGACCATTTTTCTTTTTTGTAGATTGCCTTGCACTTAAAATACACTCCTATTTTCTTTTCAGCTTGCTTCATTCTGTGAGCAATCTCTTACAGTTCTCTCTTCATGTATTAGTGAGACCAAAAAGTAGGTGGTGGGTTTTTTAACTTCTCTAGGCCGCATCTGGAAGTAGTTGCACCTTTTCTTAACTCGCTCTCTTTGTAAGCTTTTACTTGTTCATCTATTTTTTGATTCTTAGGGAGCAAGGCAGCATTTTTTTCAGTAGATCTTGAGTGGAACATGAGTAAGCATACACACTCAAGTGTTCAGTTATGTCAGTCACATTTAAAACCGATGTTGCTTCATTTAAGAGTGAAAGGATGCATGTCAGAAATCTAAAGGATACAAGTAGAGAAAATTTAGAACGGATAGAGGTCTCACATGAACTACATTATCATCTCTACAGAAGCATAGAAAAACAGTCCTATTCTAAAAAAAGTAAAGGTACACTTGGGATTTTTAAACATGTTAGTGTGAGAGTGAGAAGAGCCCAGTGAAAGTGGGACAATATGCCAGAGGATTTCTAATAGAAATAGATAAGAAAGTCTTCAACTGGCTGTAAGTTCATATGTTATCATTCCCAGTAAAACTCTGAATTTTGGAATCTTTTATGTCAATTCTAAATTCCTATAGTAAAAGTATTCACCTTATTATATAGGTTTAAAAACACAACAAATAACGACGGGGCTCTTTCAAGATTTTACAGTAAATTTAAGGAGCATGCAAGGAATGGAGGGAGTGCTGAATTCTGCACTCGTGGTATAATTATTTCACTGACTCTGTTTTATTGGGGATTTTTAAAATTCATTTTTATCATGCCATAATCCAAATAGTACTAAACCAGAAACCTTGTGCTGCTTTTCTTGAGTGTAATCCAAGAATCTGGATTCTTGGATTACAGAATAGGCTGTACTGCTTTACACCGTTTTTTTTTTTTCCTGAGAAAAAGAAAACCCTCACAAAAGCTATTCCCTATCTTCTCTTTACAGACTGGCAAGAGTGACAAAACCAAGGTAACTCAGCGTTCAGCAATTAAAAAACAGTGGGAAACAGCAAAGTAAAAGTAAAATAATTTTGAATTGCTCAGTGTGCCATAGTTCATCATTATGCCACTATTATGCCACTATACCTCAACCTTATTGCTGATCAACTAGTGTAATCACATGTATATCTTTCTTAGGATATCCACTTACTCCCTGTGGATTGCGATGCAAGATGCAGAAACTTATTTCATTTGAAGAGCAGCATGCAGTATTGTGGGTTGGCTTCAGTTTGACAGAAAAAAAAACCAAACAAACAGAGGATATGATTAACTAATGCCTTTGTGTTCACATCTGAGAATCAGCATGACAGCTGGTTTAGAGGGCAAGCCAATACCTCCAAAGTAGAGATTTAGAGAAAGCCTTGAATTCCAAAAATGTTGAAGTTGCCCATAATTATGGAGAAAGCATAAACTCTTATTCTGAATATAGCAGTCTAAAATTTCATCTTTTGGAGCTGCACAGTCAGTGTAACTGAGTTTCCTTGTCTTTGTTAGTATACATGGTTTCAATATTCCTGTATTGTCGGCATCTTCATTCTAGCACCACCATATTCCATCTGTGGTATTTTCTTGCCTGTTGTTAAAGTTTTCAGAAGTTAAATAATTCTAAACTTTGCTGTAGAATCCACTGGAAAGGACAGTATCATGTCATAAAAAAGGAAAGATGTTTCTTTAATTATCCTTGAAGGATATAAAAGAGAATACAGCAAAACTGCCCAGTCTGATAGCTTTCTGCAGTTAAATTCAGTCCCACAGAAGAAGTGGAACTCTGCTAAACAGATAACCTGAGCTGGATCAAGTTTTACTCTTATGTTTTCAGTTTTTTTCTTGGATATAATAGGTTTTATACCACTATACTGGCTGAATCGTAAATACAAGCTACAGTTTCAGAACAGTATTTTATGACAGTCTTTAGAACATACATAATTTATCTATACAGAGCTATTATTCTTTAGTGTTGCTCCTAGACAAAC